AGAGGAGAGGAGAAAGGAAACAGTGAGGAGAGGAGAAGAGAAACAGTAAGGACAGGAGGAGGATACAGTGAGGAGTGGAGCAGAGTCAGTGAGGAGAGAAGAGGCGAGGGAGGGAGGAGAGAGGAGTTAAGTGAAAGGTGTTGCTCATGAGGCAAAAGGACATTTATTAAGAGAGTTAGTATAAGCATTCATCATGCTGAATCCTGCTGGTAAAAGAGGAATGCAAGAGCACAAACTACTTTAACTGAACAACCCAGCAAAATCCTTTAAAACAAACACAACAGAAGGATAAAAGGCAAAAGAGAGAGTGGAAGTGTTTGTGTTCAGAGTACTTCTTGCACTCTTCAGTATGCAGCATGTATACAGTGCATAGTATAGTATAGCATAGTTTATATGCTTGGAATAGCCAAATGACCTACTAGCATACTACAGTCTATTTTCTATTAATTGTGTTAGAGAGACAATCTTTATTTCACAGGCTCAGGGTTATAACTTGAGCAGGAGGAGAAGAAAGCACTCGACTACCAGACAAGCTATTAGTTCAACTGGCATACGGTCGGAATGGTGCAATTGTCACCGTTTCATTAAATCAGATGCATACGGATCAGATGAGAATAGGACTCTTCGTTGCAGTGCTGGAGTTTACTCACAGTCTTCATGATAGAAAGGAGGACTTTGGGATGAGGGTATGGGGAGAGGAGGGGGTACTCAGGTCACAGAACAGCAGAACGCTCGCTTTCCCCATTTCACTAGGGCAAAGAATGAACCATCAACCTTTAAACATGAATGAAGTAAAAAAAGCTCTTCAAGTCTCAAAGTTCTTCAACTGCTCTGAATAAACAGATGCAACTAGAGTGTTGTGAAAGGTTGCCAGGGCATAGCTACGCAGTTTCTCAGGTATTCGGAGTAGATTTTATCATATTGTTATGCAGTTTCTAGGGTGTTCTGAATGGTTGCTAAAGTGTTACAAGATGATTGCTTACTGGTCTCAATTGGTCCCTAGATATGGCTACTAATTATGTCAGGAAAAGTTTGCATGTCATAGATCACCATGGAGCTAGAGTACACATGACTGCCAATTTCATGACCTTGCATCCCACGGCTCTCAAAAGGTTTACCTGTGCCTTAAATTTACCCAGCAATCTGGTGTCATCAGATTCAAAGAGGATTACCAGACTGTGCTTATGTAAGACCTCCAAGCGTTAATCCGTTCTCTCTGCTTTCTGCTGAGAATCATCATGCATGCATCTCTTTTACACACAAATTCTAACACTAAAAATATAAAAGAGAGAATAACATTTAAAAGAATATATCTGTAGTACCATAATGTGCCATTATATACAACGTGGTAGAATATGCTGTTTATATAATTGCTTTTATCCTGTGGCACTTTCCACAAATAACATACAAATGAGGACCTGAAATTCATAAATGTTGTCTTTTCTAATGTTTATTTTCCCACAAATGGCTGTTTTACAAAGTTTTTGAATTGTGAACGTTTAGGTGAAATGAACTTTAAGTGTAGGGACAGAAATCTCTCAGGATTCATTAAAAGTATCTTCATTCGTGTTTCAAAGATCAACAAAAGTGTGTTTGGAATGATATGAGAGTAAGAATGATGACAGAATTTTCAGCTTTAGATGAACTATCCCCGAGAGGTTGCAAGACAGTTGCTTACTGATCCATGCCAAAAGAGCCCAGCCCCAATTCTCTTTGACAGGGGTGTCCAATCCTGTTCCTGCAGGGCCACCATCCAGCAGAGTTTAGCTCCAGTCCTTGTTAAACACACTTGAACCAGCTCATCAAAGTCTTCACGATCTCTTGAAGCTTCCAGGCAGGTGTGTGGGAGCCAAACTCTGCAGGATGGGGGGCCTCCAGGAGCAGGATTGGACACCTCTGCTCTCTGGATGTTTCCACCATGTTTCCAAGAAAGCAGGTGGAAGTAGAGTGCCCTATCTGTCTTTTATCTCTATAAATAGGAAGGGGAAAGGCTTATCGCAAGGCTGCCAGCAGGTGAGATGCACAAGTTACTTTATTTCTGGAAGGCTCGAGGAGGTCAAGTACATTAACTGCTTTTTAAAGTCACTGAAAAAGCCAGAATGTTTAAAAGTCAAGAATCAACATTCACAACCCATTTTACTTCTGCAACGTGGCATGTTTCTTGGTGAAACAGGATATTCAAGATAAAAATGCAGGGTGGGACGTGATCCACTGGGAATTATGTGGATTGTGAAAAATTGGCATTCCATTCCAGAATTTGTCGTAAATTGTGAAGGACTATCCCCCTTCCTGAAAATCCACCAGCACCCACTGGTTGAAACATTTTCCAGCATTTGTGCCATCATGTTGCTTTGAAAGTTGAAAAAACAATTTCGAAACTAATTTTGCATTGCGGTTGTGTTTTAAGCACTACCAGACTCCCAGCAAGCATTGGGAGATACATAGAAAGAGACAGATAGAGCGATAAATAGACTGTACCTCCTCCCTGGAGAAAGCCTTTATTGGAAGACACAGACTGCAACCCAGAAATCAGATTTTCAGGACAGGGTCTCTCTGCGGTCTTAGCTGGTAATACAGACACATACATACACAGCATTACTGTAGTCTCTCTGTAGAGGGTAACTAAAAGAAATACTGTGCTAAAAAGAACTGGGAAAACTTGATTTCATATGAAAACATTGGCTTTACCATCCAATTTGGCAAAATCCCTGTTGAGCAGCTCTTCTGCTGTGAGTTTAGAGAAATTGTCATCGCCAAAGGGGTTCCAGGATGCTGTGGCTCCAGCCGAGGGTCCCGAAGCCTCCCCTGACTGATAAACACTCTGTTGTGATGAATATGGAGAACCAGAGGGAGTGGTGCTAGCTGACCTACAGCAGAGAGAGGAAAATAACAATGTTTCAAAACGCTCCACTTCAGTGTTCTCACACGACCTCAGCATGCCGCATGTGAGTGGTGTCAAGTTATTATCTTTGAAATATAAACTATTTGCATTTTCAATTTGATTTTTGCATACAACTCCAAGGCCATGACACACCAAGCCGACAGTCGGCTGCTGGCCAAAGTCAGGTGATCATTGAGTGTCTGTCGGGCCAGTTTTTGCAGTGTGTTCCAAAACATTGGCACTAGTTGGACCACCGTCTGAAGTGTTTTGGCCGATTGAGCATGCTGAATGGCCATTCGGCTGCCAGTAAGAGGAATCACTCTGATTGGCTGTTCAGCTTAGTGAACGAGAACAAAAATGAAAGTAATGAAAGCTAGCAAATGATAAGTTAAGGGGCCGTTTACACTACAACGTTTTCAGCCAAAAACTGGAAACTTTTCATGCGTTTTGCCTGTTCGTTTACACGACAACAGCGTTTGGGGGACTGAAAACGCATATTTTTGAAAACGGGTTTCAAAGTGCAAGTTTTTGAAAACGCCACCGTTATCGTTTCCGTGTAAACACCCAATACGGGAATCTTTGAAAACGGTGACGTCATGCTTGTGCGTAGTACGTGTTAGGTATGTAGACATGCACAGTACGTGTCGATTTTTAAGGCAAGCGCGAACAAACATACACAACAATGGCGGAGTACATGGTACTGTTGTTGCTGCTCAAGAGTTTGCTAACGCTTCTTCAGCAAAGTGTGGATTTACTTCACCAATAATACAACCAACAGCGGAGACGCATCATATACACACGGTAACAGGTACTGTTTACTAACAAGGTGACAGCGCCAACTACTGGCCTGGCATACGTAATACAGCGTTTTTGGCCGTTTTCGTGGATGTGTAAACGCAAATCGTTTTGAAAACGTTGTCGTGTATACGTGAGACTTTTTAAAAATGCAAGGGAAAAACTTTTCAGTTTTTGACTACATCGTTGTCGTGTAAACGTAGCCTAAGAGTGCAAACATAGATTCTTCTAATTTCACACCTTCAATTTATCTCACCATTCCAATACGTGAATATTTTCATAAAGACATGGCTGTCTGGAATGTAGAAAGTGAAGACCAACTGATCAAGCTTCATATACAAAATGGTAAGCAGGCACCCCTTTGTCTTAGTTTTAGCTTCCCATTTTGAATGCATAATATAAA